TATATATATATATATATATATATGATTATATATATATTTATACATATAATACATATAATTATAATATATTATATATATATTATATATATATATATATATATCATATTATATACATATATAATATACTTATATACTATATATATATTATATAATATATATTAATATATATAAATAGTATATATATATATACAGAGAGATATATATATATTATGAATAAAAATAAATAATGTAAATTAACGTAAAATATATATATATACATATATATAATATTAGATAGTATTATAATATATACTTATGTAGTATATATATATACATATCATACATATATAATATATATATATACTATATATATATATATATATAATATATATTATATATGTATAGTTATCATCATTATCATAATCAGCCTATATCAGAACAACCGCAGATGTACGCCTCTTCCGAGCTTATTTTGGCCACGTCATCCTGGCATTTTACCTAGCTTTGGCCTTTCCGTTAATATCATTTCATTTCCCATTTTTTACCATTTTTCTTGAATCTATTTCTTGTCCTCCTGCATCTAATTACTGCCTCGGATTACCAGTTCTCTGTATTCTTGCAGCTGCCAAGTATTTCTTGGTCTGCTCCCTGATCTATGTCACCCTTATCCGATCTTTTGAATCTTAATTGTCCTAGCATCGACACTTTCCATTCCTATTTGAGCACATGTTTCCTTCTCCAGTAAACTTAACTATGGTTTTCTGGTTAATATGTCATGACTGGGAGCATCGCATTGGTTAAAATATTTTATCTCAGTATGCTACTGTGTCTGCCGAAGTCATCCTAATGCTTTGTTTTGTTTTCCTCTCCACTGTATGAATTTCATAAAATGATTATGTTACTTGTCCACTCTTTGACTTTAGAAATCCACTTCCTGATTCGCTAAGAGAACAATTATCATCTGCAAACTTTATACTGTTTAGGTGTTCTCCCCTCCTATTTTGAGACCCTTTTCCGTTCCTTTCTATGTTTCTATGGAATATTTCTTCAGGGCAAACTTATAAATAATTTCTGTGAGATGGCTGTCCCCCCCCTCAAAATGTATTTGATTATTACTTTCTCTTGTTTCTGTATGTGAGCTCTGTGGTTACATTATCCTATTTTTCGCATGTACATTATATTATACTACTTTGCAAAGTTCCGCTTACTCAATGTCTTTGAATACCTTGTAATAATGTTTGTATTTATATATTACATTAACTCAAATAATGTATACCCAAAACAGGAGTTTCCAAAATGCTTTCATTTTCTTATATCAGTTAGTGTCAGAAGAGGTTTATTTATTAAGAATCCACTTCCACTGCGGAAACCTTAACTTCGTATACGATATTTTCTGATGGTTGTGAGAGTATATATATATAATATATATATATATTATATATATATATATAATATATATATATATTATATTATATATATTATAATATATATATGTGCGTGTATGTGTGTGGGTGTGTGTGTGTGTGTGTGTGTGTGTGTGTATAATGGTATATATTATATATTATATAATATATATATATATATATATATAATAATA